TGCTTCATACTACGACATTAATAAATCATTAGCTCATCCATGAACATGATTTCTGCCTGAGTCCCGTCGGATTGCATCGGCTGTGGGGATGAAGACCACAACTCCCATGATTCCACACTAAGTCACGGCATCATCAAACTAGAGGTCTGTATTCCCGCTGCTCTCCCGCGGGAACCGACCGGACGTCCATTCAGACCAGCATATCTGCGCTTTATTCTTGTTGACCACCGGGACAGCTTGCACTCAGAACTGTAATGCACGCGCTGCACGCATGCTTTTATCGTCACGCATTTTATTTGCGTGGTCTGAGCGAGCATGTGCATAACGAGGCTCCGAGCAGGCTGTACCGGTGGTAAATATACGGCCCTCAGACAGAACAGGCAGGTTGTCGATGAGTGACGGAGCAGAATAAGGATGGAGCAAACTGTGGATGCGCTGTCCTTGAAGGACGTTCAACTCGGTTTTGTTTATATTTTGCTTAGCCTATAATTTAAAATGAAAGATGTGTATTTATTTATTTTTCTCTGCGACACTTCTCCTACTGTGTTAACAGAAAAATGCCAAACGAATTTAGTATTTCGACAAGACGAATAAAAATAGCTAATTAGGCTATTTTTGTACAACCTACAATATTTTTTTCTCTCCGCAACACTTTTTCACTATTGTGTTGTCAATGTTAAAAGAATTGTATTCTGACAAGACGAATAAAAATAAGAAATACAATTTTTGTACATTTTTATTTTCTCTGACACTTTTTTTTTTTCTAATGTGTTGCATAAAATATTAAACTAATTTTGTGTCTTAGGATAATTCATATAAATTAAAGTCAAAGTCAATAAATTCAAGACTCTTGACAAGATTAATAAAATAACATACAATTTTGTGCAGACTACACTTTTATTTGCCAGTCTATCTCTCTTTCTTTCAGTAGCAGAAATTTAAACGTGAGATTCTGGAAACCAGAGCTAAATTTAGCAGGAACGGTCGGGTCGGGAAGAAAATGATTCTAAGCGGACAGCGGGTGAACAAAGAGTGAATATATAGCGGGAGCGGGTGGGTGCGGAATATAACCTTGCAGGAGCGGGACTAAAAAACAGTCCCGTGCAGACCTCTACATCAAACTACGCCTTTGTTTCTTTGTTTATTTTGAATACGTGCCCTCTAGTGGTCAATTTCATATTGTGCCTTTAATGAAGCCTATTTTAGTTTTAACCCCCCCCCACCTTTTTAAATTTAATTTAGTTTTTTACATATCCTGCAAATTATCAAATGAAATGTTATTCTGTGAACAGTAACAGAGTATGGAAATGATCCTGTTTTTATAATAATCAACATACATTAAATGAATTCTAACAAATGCCAGCATGTATTTTTGGTTTCTGATTCAGGCGTCTCTCTAACGCTGAGAAGTGTGTGATAGTGCGGTGTGTTTGTGTGCAGGTGGTTTGGATCATCTTCTACACGGCGCTACACTACGACTGAGGACTGCAGGACAGACAGAGACAGACATTTATTTAACGTGATCTGGAGGGGCTGGATGGAGCTACTTTTCCGAGGCGTCTGCATATGTTACCTTCAGCGTGTGTGCGCGCCTGAGGAAGAGGTGCATCGTGGGTACAAGACATGCTAAATAACCTTCTGGAACCCAGGGCTCACTGCATTTTGAAGCTGATGTTGTCCAGTGCACTGCCATGGCTATTGGGTTAATAACTGTTATTTCTGTTTGTCCTCTCTGCTTTTTCTTGTTTGATTGCTGCCGTATCAAGCGGGATTTAACTTAATTTGATGTTTTTCTTAGTTTCTTTCACGATTAGCATCCAACACAGATTGTCTTACTCCGTTATGACCAGGAAAATCAGATAGGCGTGTGTAAATTCTGTACAATTCATTTTATCGGATCCATAATGTATTGAAGTATTTCTTATGTCTTGTTGATGTAACAAACTGCTCAGTATTTTATAGTGTATTGATGGAAATGCAGATGGTCTGTATGCTTGTCGTGAGTAAGGAGATGTACCCGAGGCCGTAGAGAGACTATTTTCTGGATTAAATGTTTTGGAGAATAAAATAAAGCTGGGCTTTGTCTGCCCTACACTTTTCAGCAGTTCTGGTGGACTGGTCGCTTTATCCACCGTCTTTGTAGCAAATCCTGACTGTGTTGAGAGAAGTGCTGGATTTCTGTTGACCTACATAATATATAGGTTAACCCTAAAGGTGACATCTGTGAAATTTTGCAGGCAGAAAAGGTCAATTGTCTGTTGTCAGCAGAGTAACGCTCTCACACAAGACACTGTCAAACCGAGCAGCCTTCTGGTATTATTATTATTATTATTAACAGGGTTCCCGCGGGTCCTTAAAAAGTCTTAAAGGAGACCTATTATGCCCCTTTTAACAATATGTAATATGAGTCTCTGGTGTCCCCAGAATGTGTCTGTGAAGTTTCAGCTCTAAATACCCCACAGATCATTTATTATATCATTTTGAAAATGTCTATTTTGAGTGGAAGCAGAAACAAGCTGTTTTTCGGGCCTGTGTCTTTAAATGCAAATGAGCTGCTGCTCCCCGCCCCCTTTTCCAGAATAGAGCTGCGCCTTTACAGCTCGGACCTGCTAAAACATCTGTTTTGGTTCTGATTATCATGTTTATCACGCTGAAATCATGCGTTTTAAACCATATGAGTTTAAACTTCTGATACACGGTTTTCTGAGCGCACGCATCTGAAGCACACGCACAGAAAGCGGCTGTCACAGCATGAGTACTAAACTAAGTTCTCATTCACACACAAGTTTATAGTTTTTGTATGTTAATGTACAAAAATTATGTCTATATCATACAATACAATGTTTATATAGCACATTTTAAATGTACAACCAAAGTGCTGCACGGATATGCAAAAGAAAACAGATAAACACGATTATAAACAAAACAAACTATAAAACATAAACCGGGTGAGGTTCACCAAAACAGAAAATAATTGCACAGGAAGTCAAGAAATATTGTTTTGTACATATATATATATATACACACAGGGTTTAAATTGACAGGGTTGAACATTACAGGACACACGAGCTGCAGTAGACAAAGGTGTGCGATATATAAGCGGACCTCAAACTAATTAAAGGGGTCATATGATGCTTTTTTAAAGATCATTATTTTGTGTATTTGGTGTAACAGAATATGTTGACATGCTATAATGTTCAAAAAACACATTATTTTTCAAATACTGTACATTATTGTAGGTCCTCTATGCCCCGCCTCTCTCAAACGCTTCGTTTTCTACAAAGTCCCTCCTTCCGACAAGCGCAGTCTGCTCTGATTGGCCAGCTGACCCAGTGCATTGTGATTGGCCGAACACCGCAAGCACTCGTTGGAAGCACTCTCTCTCTCACACACACACAATGTGCAAAACTCTGCATTTGAACAGTCAATAGCAAATACTTAAACTAATAACAAAACGGTAGCTGATTCAGAAGCGCCAGATTGTCATAGCAAAGTCAGAATGACCTCCTCTCCTAGGTTCACGAAACGGTCGTCCATAAAATGCATTGCTGTTCTGTTGTAAGTAATCTTAAAGATTCCTAAATGCATCTACTTTCGGAAGGCCAAATAAAGTGCTTTTGCTTTCTCCTAGAAACACACAGCGTCTCCCTGACATGCTGCTTCAACACTAACTGCAGTTACTGAAACCACCCCTTCTTTTTTTTGTGCGAACATTTGGGCGTAGAGGCTGTATTAATGTGGACTCCTGCACATAAAGGAATAATGGGAAATGAGAGAGTTGACAGATTAGCCAAACTAGCCATTAAAAAAGTAACTATAGACACAAACACAAAGCTGTCGAGATCAGAAGGAAAGAGTATTGATTGGGAAAGAGTTATGAAGGAATGGCAGATGCAATGGGATCAAGAGACACACGGACGACATCTAAACTTGTTTAAAAAAGAGTTGGTGTTGTGGAAAGCACGGGGGAAGTATGAGGAAACAACAAGGAACAGACTAAGAATAGGACACAGTAAATTAAATAGCACACTCCATATTATAGGGAAGCATCCTACTGGATTCTGAGCATGTGATTAGTGCGTGTAGGAAATATGATCAGTGTTGGGGAAACAATATTGCGTTACTCCATAAAAAAAGTAACTAATTACGTTACTTAGTTACTTTTTATGGAAAGTAATGCGTTACGTTACTTTTGCGTTACTTTTTAAATCTGGACAGGGCTTGCTTGTTTGTTTTAAAATTAAAAAAGTTATATTTTTGGCAAATATAAAAGCCCTTTCACACCAAAGGTGAAATGAATGCGCCTCAGGCTGAAGGGAAAGTACAGTAGAATGCAGAAGAAGACATTTCAACACACTTCAGCAATAAACAAAGACACACAAGTGTTTGTCGAGAGTAATTTGTGTTTATTAGTACGGCTGAACCGGATCATCGAAGCTCAGAAGCAAATAGAATGAGATTAAATACATAAAGCATATTTGTGTTGTTTAACATTTTAATTATTGCAGGTTTGCGTCATATTCTGAGTGGCATTATTTGTATTCATTTTGAGGAATACTGAATCTGTGTTGTGTGTGAGTGAGATGAATGAATGCATATTCATATCTATTTTAGAGCTACAGTAACATCTTCTGATTTCTCTCAACATGAGGACAGGAGAGCTGTCAGTCAATAAATTGGAAAAAAAAAACAAGTATAACAAATAAAAATGCAAGCTAAAGAAGAAGAAGAAGTATGAGGAACGACTTTCCCTGCGTCCCAGTGTTCACACTATCCTTCCTAAATAGTATGTGAGATTAAAATAAGTGTGGCCCAAAGCATAGTGTGTTGAAAACAGTCCCTGGATGGTCTACTGTCTGTTTCAGGTAGATTTCTGAAGTGGTTATTAGTTTAGGTATTTGCTATTGACTGTTCAAATGCGGAGTTTGAGAGAGAGAGAGAGTGTGTGTGTGTGTGTGAGAGAGAGATAGAGAGTGTGTGTGTGTGAAGGGCTGATCTGATCTGTGTCTCTCTCAGGCTCAGAGGCTCCAGGTGTGTGTGAGGAGAGAGATCTGTGCACTGACACCGCCGGCTCCCCCATCATCTATAACCCACACACGGCGCTCTCCATAGAGAAACAGAGGCAGAGGCTGCCCGTCTTCAAGGTGTCTACAGAGAAACACTTACTATTCTTCATAAAGGGGTCATATGATGCGATTTCAAGTTGTCCTTTCTCTTTGGAGTGTTACAAGCTGATTGTGCATAGATAAGATCCCTGAAGTTGCAAAGACTAAAGTCTCAAATCCAAAGAGATATTCTTTATCAAAGTTAAGACTCTGCCACGCCCCCCTAAAACGGCTCGTTCTAACACGCCCCCACATATCTACCTCACTGTGGAAATATTTGCATAACGCCACCCAAATGTTCACGCAAAGAAAGAAGGCGTAACTTTTATTCTTGCTGTAGTATTGTTGCCGCCGCTGCCGCCATGCCGTGAAGACGCTGTGTGTTTTGTTGTGAAAGCGAAACTACTTTGTTTGGTCTTTTGTAAACACAACTTAACCACCGATTTCTAGTCGTGTCCTCTTTTGGAAGACCAAACAGAGTAGTTTCGCTTTCACAATGAAACACACAGCAACTTCACGGCATGGCGGCAGCGGCAACAGCGAGAATAAAAGTTATGCCTTCTTTCTTTGCGTGAACATTTGGGCAGCGTTATGCAAATCTTCCCACATAGTGAGGTAGATATGTGGGGGCGTGTTAGAACGAGCCGTTTTAGGTAGGTGTGGCTGACTCTTAACTTTTATAAAGAATATCTCTTTGGATTTGAGACTTTAGTCTTTGCAACTTTAAAAAATTAGCAAAATTAACAAAAATGATTTCTGATGGTTTTAGTTAACAGTAACAACTCTGTTGTGTGCACTTTAACACAACAATTATAACAACAATAGTAAGTATTATTAACATTACCATATCATTATTTTGGATATTTCAAATTAATTTCAGATTTTTTTCCCCATAAATCATACTTTTAAGTATAAATCGAAATATAATAATAATAATAATAATATAAATCTCAGTGTAGGATAAATATTCAATTTAAGCCCTAAGTCTAAAACATAGATATAAACCACCATGATGCTGGGTTTTGCAAGGGTTTTTCAGCGTGTTATTTAGTTGCTAAAGCATTTCTAGTGTGTTATGAGTGATTGCAACTCCCACAAATTCAAAAGATTTTAAAGCAAACACCACTAATTATAATTTTATGCTGCTACCTTTATTTTTTTATTAGTAGATGTAACAAAATTGGTCTTTTTTTTGGAAATGTTTTATTTTTTATTTTGTTTGCATATTTACAATACAGTTTTATTTTATAGTGAAGTTTCTGCATTTATAAAATGATATATATATTTTTTTGCATCCAGCACAGAAACAACATCCTGTATCTGGTGGAGAGTTTCCAGACTGTGGTGATTGTTGGAGAAACAGGATCTGGAAAAAGCACACAAATCCCACAGGTTTGACGCTGTGACTTCATAGTCTCTGGCCTCTGTTAATAGCCGTTTACAGAATAATTATAATAATAACATAATATTTCCACACAAATGGCCTTTGGGAAAATGATTGCTGTGCAGTTTGTGTGTAAGCACGGAACAGAAGACAGTCTGAAATAAAACAAAAAAAGTCTGGTAGATCGGTGCATCTGTACTCCAGTGTATAAATTCAATATAGATTAATCATTTTTAAAGCTACAAAGTTACTTGCCAGGATGGGTATTTTGACATACTTTTGTATGTATTTGCCCGTCCAGGCGGCTCGCTTGCCAGAGACGCGTGGCTGTCTGTGCGCTGAAAGGAGTTGTCTTTCGCACCCAAATGCTTTTTAATCGCTTGAATTTTTAAATTAACAAGTCTTAAAAACACATGCAAATGATAAAATGTCGTGACGACGCTGCAGTGGCCCTATCGGGCAAGTGACAAATCTGTCTACTGTCCCGAAATGTCTTTCACACTGGCCCCGGGCCATCGGGCAGTCCTTATTGTCGAGCCCTGTTTAGTCAACCTTGTCCTGTTTTTGTTTAGTCAAGTTTTAGTCAACGAAATCTTGTTGTATATTGAATTAAGGTCAATAAACCGATTTGCTTGACAGAAACAGTAAAGATAGTCTTGTAGGTCAGAAGTGTGTTGTGATGTTGTTGATGTTTGGGCAGTATCTGCTGGAGGCGGGATGGGCGGCGGACGGGAAGGTGATCGGCGTGACTCAGCCACGGCGAGTGGCTGCCACATCTGTACGTAACTCTTCTCTTCAGTTTAATTTAACATGAATGTCTGCTGCGGGCCACTGTCTGTATGTGATTGTGTGCTCACAGGTGGCCGGTCGCGTGGCAGAGGAGCGGGGGGCGTATCTGGGGCATGAGGTGGGCTACAGCATCCGCTTCGATGACTGCTCTGACCCGCACGCCACACGCATTAAGGTACAGACAGGCTCTGGTTTATTAGTGTTACGTCTGCTGTTTGTAAAGGGTGTCCGTCTTTACAGTGACTTCCTGTTCTCTGTGTCTCAGTTTCTGACGGATGGGATGTTGGTTCGGGAGATGATGTCTGACCCGCTGTTGAAGAAGTACAGGTAAAGCAGCAGCGACGCTTCGAATATTTGACAAATTAAAAAAACAAAAAATCCACATTCGAATGCAAAAACGTTAAATTCTAATTTTAGGTGTGCGTTAGGCTACCTTATCAATGGCACACGAGATGCGATGACAATGTAAGTGTCGTTGCTTTTTAATGCTTTTTTTTTTTAGCCTATCCAGTTGAACTTGCTTTGAAAGCCATGTAAAATTAATGTAAGTTCCCTTCCAAGGGAACTTCGAACTGCGTCCTCTAGGGGTCGCTATGGGGAACGCCTTCGGCGTGACCGGTGTCTGAAGCATATATCTAAACACGACAATGACATTGGCCAGCGACGGCCTATGACGTCATTACCGGTGCGACCACAGTATAAAAGGGAGCCGGAAGAACACGTCATCCTCTTCTTCATCTTCACTGACCGTTTGTTTATGTTAGCGGTAAGCTAAGCATGACTAGGAGTGCATGTTCTCTCACCAGAAACTTTGCTCTGATACCCGCGGTTTCACATGGCTCGTGTGTTGTGTGTGTGTGGTGAAGTTTGCATGAGTGCGTTCGCCTCTCATGGAAATAGCGACACGTTTGCGGCAGAGGTTTTCGTTCTCGCCTGATTTCCGAGGTAATCTAGCGCGTGAATGGAGTATGTTTAGCTCCCGTGGGAGCTGAATGCATGCTGTGCGTTGCGGTTGCAGTGAGAATTGTCTGCCCATTGCCTGCGATTCGCGGTTGGTGGGCAGAACATGGAAAGGACCTGACGGGAAATCTTTTCCCTGTCAGTAATTTCCTACTGTTTATAATTCCTTATATATAAGGAAGTTTACAATGTGGATATCTGTCTGCAGTTGTTGGACATATGAGTTATATCATGTCCTTATTAGATAACCACATTATACTGCACTCTGAGAGCCCATTTTCTGCGCCTTTACTTTCATTCAGGGTTGTATGACTCTCTGTGCTCAAGTGTTGGCTTGCGAGCCTCCTTGATGCTTGGCCCTGAACTGAGCTTATGCTGGGTGTGGTAGAGTATCATGCTCTCTGGGGCTAGGAGCTTGACCGTACTCCCCTCTCGCTACTTGTTAGTAGGTCATTGGCGCAGAACCTGGTTCCCTTACCTTAACGCTACAACCTCTGAGGCCCTACGGGTCTCCTTGAGGGGGTATCTTTCAGGTTGAGCAGGGCAGTACTTGAGGAATATTCCGTACCCTGCTCTCTGATGGCCTGCTGGATGCTTTGGCTTTGAGAAGCCACCCTAGCTAGGGTGCATATAAGGTGAGCTAATTCATGTCTCGTCCTGAGGGGATCCTTGAGTCTTAAGCTACCTTGTGTCCATTCTGCACATGTACTGGGCTGGAGTTTTGAGTAACTTCGCTCCCTAAATTCCACTCTGCAGTTTTGACAGGTTGTCAGGCACACTGTGGGCCTCCCTGTCACACTGCCCTTATGGTTGAATCAGTGTCTCCCCTCTTAGGAATGGTTTTGAGTGCACTGTTTCTCCCTGGGTTATGAGTCTGATGTGCTCCCTTCTTCTGAAGGTCTGTTCTTAGGCACTCACTCTGAGGGGCTTTACCATGTGCATGAATGGCTTTGTGTCCCGTCCTGTTCCTGTGGTCGAGCTAGCACTGCTCCCCTTGAAGATAAAGGTGATGCAGGAGCCTGCTGCTCCCACAATCCCTTCAGCTCCTTCAAGCCTAGCTGTATGGAACCCTCACTCTCCCTATACTGATGTATGGGTTTACATTGTCAGTTGTGTCAGCTGATGTGCAGTTGTATCAGGTTAACAGGCCTCGTTCCTGTCGCCCTGTTAGACTGGTTTTCTGGTTGAGTTTGGCAGAGTTTGTATATGAGCTTGCTGCTCCCTGTTTCAGCTCTGTTAATAACACTAGCCTTATGGTCGAGCTTGGCAGTGCTTTCCTCACTGCAGAGGGTTAACTACGAGCCTGCTGCTCCCAGAGTGAGTGTTCATTCCCTGCAACCTCAAAGACCCGCGCGTCTTTCATTGAGGGTACTTTCAGGTTGAGCATTCTTCAGAGTGTAATACTTCGTGACATGCTTACTGATGTCCCAGCTGGGTTATTGCTTCGAGAAGCTACCCCGGCCAGGGCAAGTTACTCATGTCTTGCCCTAAGGGGATTCCTGAGCTTTGAGTCATCCACTCACCATTATGCACATTTTATAGAGCTCCTCTTGCTGAGGAACTGAGCGTTCTCACGACATTCTGCAGTATCGATAGGTTGTTAAAGAGTCCTTTTTTGGACCTCCCTGTCACACTGCCCTTGGTGAGTCGCACCTCTGGAGTGGGCTTGAGTACACTGCCTTCCCTGAGGTATGAGTGAGACGTGTTTCCTTCTCTGCAGGGACCCTTTCTAAGTGCTTCGGCTCTGAGGAGCAATAGCTCTTTGTGCATGAGTGGATCATTAGGTCCCGTTGTTTCTGCAGACCCACAGAAACAGGTTAAACGCGACCCATGCTCAGAGACCATGGGACTGTGTTCAGCTGACAGTCTCTCATCAGGCTCTGTTAGACTGCCCCTTCTAGTCTAACGCTGCCTTCTGGTCGAGCTAGGAAGTGCTCCCCTCACTGCGAGGGTTAGCTATGAGCCTGCTGCTCCCAGTATGAGCTATGAGGGCCTACCTTAGCAGGAGAGCCGAGTGCGCCGCTCCCGAGAGCTCCATGAGCAACCATACTGAGTTGTTAGGTTCGTCCCTGTCACCTCCTTGGTTAGTTGCCTCTATGGTGGGAGCCTGCTGCTCCCTGTTGGAACACGTGTTCCCCTGCTAAGCTGGGTTCCGTTCCTGATGCCCCATCTGCGGTCAATCTGCTTCTCTGAGCTTGGCAGTGTTTCCATCACTGCGGGAGGGTCTTTTATGAGCTCGCTGCTCCAAAGCAGATCATGCGAGTCCTCCTCTCTACCTGAGAGTTAGGAACTCTGCCCCTAGGCTATTGACCGCTCGTTCTGGTCGAGCTGGGTTCTTCTCTCATTACTGGGAGTCAAGCCCTCCACTCCGTGGCAGCAACACCAGGTAGTTTGACCACTTGCTGCCACCCTGATGAGTTGCCCCTTTTTTGGTTGAGCCTATCGATGCTCCCCTCGACCTAGAGGGTCACCTTCGAACATGCTGCTCCCAATTGAGCGTCTGAGGTCTCCCCACACAGAGTCCTCTGCTCCCTGGAGCTCCATTGAGCAGCCATCTCAGGTTGTTAGGCCTCTCTCTGCCTCCCTGTTAGCCTGCTATTTTGGTTGAGCTTAGCAGTGCTCCCCTCATTTTGGAGGTTCACTTGCGAGCACGCCACTCCCATACTGAGTGTCTGAGTTTCTCTTCCATTCAGAGAGTTGAACCTCCGCTCTCTGGAGCTCCGGTTGGCAGCCATGCCATGTTGTTGGGCCACCTTCTGCCTCCCTAGTGGGCTGCTTTCGGTTGAGATAGCAGTACCTCCCTCGCCTTAGAGGGTCACCTATGAGCACACCAGTCTCAACCAAGCATTGAGTTCTCCTCTCATTCTGTGAGTCACATTCTCCACTCTTTACAAGCAGCCACGTCAGGTTGTTAGGCCTTTCTGCCTCCCTGCAAGGCTGCTCTTATGGTTGAGCTTAGCAGTGCTCCCCTCACTCCAGAGGGTCACTTGTGAGCATGCCGCTCCCTCCTGAGCGTCTGAGTTTCCCTCTCAGCCTGAGAGTTGAGTTCTCTGCTCCCCAGAGCTCCGTGAGACAGCAATACCAGGTTTCGGACCTTTTCGGCCTCCCCGATAGGCTGCTTTTGTGGTTGAGCTTGTAGTGCTCCCCTCACACTAGAGGGTCATCTGAGCACACTGCTCCCAAGTCGAGCACGAGTACTCTTTGTGATTGGTTTTCGGTCCTTTGTATTTAACTATGGATACATACATGATGCCGTTTTGTTTATAATTTTTTAAAGCAACGTAAGTAATTATTTGTGGTTTATAAAAAATGTTTTAACATTATGCACTTTTAAAGATAGTCGTGTTATTTTATTGCTTTAATAAACGTGCATTAGTAATATTTAGCTCGATGCGCCCTCTTGTGGCCTCAGGAGAAAAGCCAAAAGCTTTGTTCCCCCCTAACTGAAATTAGGCCTTTTCAAATATAATTCGAATATTGATAATATTTAAGTACAAAATCTGAATTTAGTTTTGCAGCCATTTTGACGGGCCTAATGTGCACGGAGAGGTTTCCAGGTGACGGGCTGATTTCTGATCGTATCATTGGTGTTGTTTTGCTGTAGTGTGATAATGCTGGATGAAGCTCACGAGCGAACACTTTACACTGACATCACCATCGGCCTCCTGAAGAAGGTGATGCTCTATTTGCTTTCTATCATCTGTCAGATGAGCATTTGTGTGGGGTTTTTCTTCCCATTGTTTTCTCTCTCTTTACAGATTCAGAAGAAGCGCAGAGACCTGCGTTTGATCGTAGCTTCAGCCACTTTGGATGCCAAGGTAAATCCAACCTCTGACTAAATATATCTGGGTGAAATAATGTTACTTTGTCACAGATATATTTATGTAAAAAAAAAACAAAAAAAAAACATACTTATTCAGACCTGTGCTTATTAAAACCTGTAGAAGAATAAATGATCATACTAAATTTTATTATTTTTTAAATGATTAAAAACCTCTTACAAATGTTTAAATCCAAGTAGTTTGAAGGATAGTGGCAGTCTTTAGTTTTTGGAGCTGCACTGAGATCCTTAAAGAGTGTCTTTTAATGTCATCTAATGATTTCTGTTGAAAATATGCCTGATAAGATTTATTGCTATATGAACTATCGCTACACTAAATGACATTAGTTCAGTAATTCATGGTAAAAAAAATTGATAGTCATTATTTTTTGCTTAGGGAACAAAATAAATAAAAATGAAACTACATTTAAAGCTGTATTAAATTTTGTTTTAATGCTTGTAATTTAAATTTAACTCTAAAAATGTCATTTGATTTAGTCATTCAGTAAAACTAGTATTTTCCTCACACTCTGTGTACACAATCATTATTTCAAGTACTTTTTTAACCATCATGTATTAATAAATATCATTACATTTCCTTTTACTCGCATATAAATTGTAATTCAGAAATGATAAAAACATGCACATTGTAAAAGAGGTGTAAGATATTTTCATTATCATCATGGTTTTATTATTTTATATTCAGTGCCATTCAAAAGTTTGGGATCAGTAAGATTGTTAATGTTTTTTAAAGAAGATTCTTCTGCTCATCAAGGCTGCATTTATTTGATCAAAAATACAGAAAAAAATTTAATTTTGTGAAATATTATTGCAATTTAAAATAACAGTTTTCTATTTTAATATATGTTAAAATTTAATTTATTGCTGTGATCAAAGCAGTATTTTCAGCATTATTACTTCAGTCTTCAGTGTCACATGATCTTCAGAAATCAGTATAATATGCTGATTTATTATCAGTGTTGGAAAGAGTTGTGCTGCTTAATATTTTTTGGGACCTGTGATACTTTTTTCTTTGATTCTTTTAAAAGAACAGTGTTTATTCAAAATAGAAATTGTGTTACAATGTACACAACTATTCAGAAGTGTGGGGTCAGCAATTTTTTTTCTTAAAAAAAAAAAAAAATTAATTAATACTTTTATTCAGCAAGGATGTGTTAAATGGATAAAAAGTGATAGTAAAGACTTAAATTGTTAGAAAATATTTATATTTCGAATAAACACCGTTCTTTTTAAACTTTTAATTCATCAAAGAAAAAGTATCACAGGTTCCAAAAAATATTAAGCAGCACAACATAGATAATAAATCAGCATGTTATACTGATTTCTGAAGATCATGTGACACTGAAGACTGGAGCAATGATGCTGAAAATACAGCTCTGCATCACAGAAATTAATTAAATATTGCAATATAGTAATAGTTAGATACTATTTCAGAATAATAATATTTTTACTGTATTTTTGATCAAATAAATGCAGCCTTGGTGAGCAGAAGAGCCTTCTTTCAAAAACATTAGAAAGTCTTAACAACACAACCATTTTGGATGGTAGTGTGTACTATTTTTGAAGGATTTTAAAACAAAACAAAAAAACATATTGCCTCTGCTCAAAGCTGTTGTAGGTTTCTCGAATCATCCGAGGGTTCATGATAATCAAGCCGCGTGATTGCTGAAGATCTCAGCGGTCAGCTAGCTAGAGTTGATCTACGTCTGATACATGAACAATACTGTTCCCTCAGAAATTCCACGATTTCTTCGACCTAAATGAGTCTGGAGACCCAAATAAAGACACCTGTGCGATTCTGACGGTGGAGGGCCGAACTTTCCCGGTGGATATTTTCTACACTGTCAGGTGAAGCTCATGTTCACATATGGTCAGTCCTGTGAGAAAAGAGTCTCTCTCTGCTTCCACTAATGAAAGTGACGGGATGCTTTCTGTCTCCAGTCCTGTGCCGGACTATGTGAAGGCTACGGTGGAAACCGTGATGAAGATCCACGAGACGGAGGATGATGGAGATGTGCTGGCCTTTCTCACAGGACAGGTGTGTGTGTGTGTGTGTGTGTGACATTTGTTCTGGAATGGACCTGCTGCATTGGTTTTCATTGTTCACGTCCTAAAAATGTCTTTTAAAAGATGTTTTTTTTAAGGCTCCCCTGATGTTTGACCTGCTGTCAACGTATAGCAATGTTTTTCTGCTCGTTCTTTCATCAGGAAGAGGTGGAGAAGGTGGTGTCTATGCTCCAGGAACAGGCCCGGACTTTGTCCCGTTACGGGATGAAGAAGCACCTGTGTGTGCTGCCCATGTACGCGGGCCTGCCCTATAACGAGCAGATGAGAGTGTTCGAGAGGATGCCCCCTACTGTCAGAAAGGTGCAACCACATATGTGACCCTGGAGCACAAAAGCAGTGTTTAGTCGCTGGGGGATATTTGTAGCAACAGCCAACAATACATTGTATGGGTCAAAATGATCCATTTTTCTTTTATGCCAAAAATCATTAGGATATGAAGTAAAGATAATGTTCCATGAAGATATTTTGTAAATTTCCTACCGTAAATATATCAAAACTTAATTTTTGATTAGTAATATGCATTGCTAAGAACTTCATTTGGACAACTTTAAAGATGATTTTCTCAATATTTAGATTTTTTTGCACCCTCAGATTCCAGATTTTCAAATTTTCGGCCAGATATTGTCCTATCCTAACAAACCATACATCAATGAAAAGCTTGTTTATTTTGTATGTATTAATCTCAATTTTGAAAAATTGACTGGTTTTGTGGTCCGGGTCACTATTTAGATTTTTTTGCACCCTCAGATTCCAGATTTTCAAATTTTCGGCCAGATATTGTCCTATCCTAACAAACCATACATCAATGAAAAGCTTGTTTATTTTGTATGTATTAATCTCAATTTTGAAAAATTGACTGGTTTTGTGGTCCGGGTCACATATATATATATATATATATATATATATATATAGGAGAGAAACGATGAATTGAGATTCAGTCGTAGTCAGTGACGTTGAGTGTCCTGTTTGCGCTGTTAAACAGTGAAACTGGAGGATCGGCAGACGTGTGACCATATGCACTCAGAGCTTCATTGAATCCTGTTGACGGTCGTTTGTTTGTGTGATGTTTTTCAGGTGGTGGTCGCCACCAATATAGCCGAGACGTCCATCACCATTAACGGAGTGGTGTTTGTGATCGACTGTGCGTTTGTGAAGCTGAGGGCGTATAATCCACGCACGGCGATAGAGTCACTGATCGTTACGCCCATCTCTAAAGCCTCCGCCTGTCAGAGAGCCGGGAGAGCCGGGAGAAACCGTGCAGGGAAGTGTTTCCGGCTCTACACAGGTACAGTGCGGTCATACAAATGTATAATCAAAAAAAAAAATATATATATATATTGTACTTGTACTTGTACTTATACTGTAGTGTGTTATTGGTATCTAAACTAAAACTATGAAAAAATATTACTGGTAATTGAAATAAGGCTGAAATAAAATAAAATATAAATATTAGATGAAAAATGTAAACTTAAAAAAAACAAAACTTAAAATTAGAAGTTAACTCACTAAAATAAAGATATTAAAATGCAATAATAAAATTACTAAAACTGAAATAAAAATAAATAAGCTAAATGTAAGTGTAAAAGAAACCCAAAAACTAATAAAAATGACAAAAACACAACAGAATTGCTTAAGCTAAAACATAAACTAAACTGAAAATGTAAAATATAATAAAAGCTGCAAAATCAAAACTATAATAGGCTACTATATACACAGTATTTAATATACATAAATTAAAGTCAGTTTCAGTATTATTTTAGTAGTGGTTAAATACTACTAAACTGTACTTACTTAATTTAAGAATTAATGACTTCCTTTCCAGTTCATAATTTAGCAAACATTGATTTATACAAATGTTACAGCTCAAATGTTTTACAATAAAAAGTGTATTATTTATATATTTTTAAACGTGTTTAATAAATTAGATAAATATAATTAAAAACATTGACTTTGTTTTATTAACTTGTTTATTAAATAGTGATTTCAAGTAAGTTTGAATACTGAATTAAATTTTGCATACTCTGTTTGAATTCAGAAATGGGATTTAAAAATGATTTCCAGTTCTAACGGTTATCGTATCGGCCAAAATTTTCATATCGGTGCATCCCTAGTTTATCTTGATTTCATGATTTTCTAGTGTTGTTCTGTCGGTTTTCATACTGGTCCGTCGCACCATCAGACCACATTGTCAGTGTGTCATGTTTTCATACTACCGTTTGCCATATCGGTAACTTGCTTCATCCTCAGACTTGAATAAAGCAATGAGCCCCGTGAAGCCGTGGTTTACAGTGAATTTATAAGAGCTAAGGGGCGTTGTTAGACGCGAAGCGGAGTGCCTAAAACCCCCCTTAGCTCTTATAAATTCACTGTAAACCACGGCTTCACGGGGATTATTGCTTTTATAAAACGGCTATTCCATATACGTAGTAAGATTTCACAAAATAAAACGGAGCAAATAAAGTGTAATGATATTAATAAAAACAGTATTCTTCCACCAAACAATGTAGCTCCTCAGAAACAGTTGTGGTTCCAACAAAGTGGTAAACAAAGGTGTGTGTTTGTAGAGTAATTTACAACAGCTTCGAACGTGGCTCAGCCAATCAGAATCAAGCACCGGAACTCTCCGTTATCTAATGTCGTATCAGTGTGTCATTACATGACTGTATTTGGTATGTGTTCAGTGATTTCTCACTCTTCTGTCTGTGCTGCAGGTGATCCGGATGTGATTCTCAGATGTATTGTGTCTGGTTTTTTTGCGAATGCCGCCCGAATGCATCACTCCGGCTCCTACAGGTCGGTTCATTCCTCCCTGCTTCAGTTTCCTCAGTAACCTACTGACTGTTCCTGCCATTAATGTGTCTTTTGCAGTGTTGGGGAAAGTTACTTTTAAAAGTAATGCATTACAATATTGAGTTACTCCCTAAGAAAGTAATTAATTGCGTTACTTAGTTACTTTTAATGGAAAGTTATGTGTTAATTTACTTTCGGGTTACTTTTTCCTCATCTGTGCTGGGCTTGCTTGTTTATTTTTAATATAAAAAGTTATATTTTTGGCTAACAGAAAAGCCCTTTCACACCAGAAGTGAAATGAATCCGCCTCAGGCTGAAGGAAATGGAAATTCACGTCTGTGCAGCTCAAACAAACCTTTCAAGGATTGCATGAAGAATAGAAAGTAAAACACTCAAAAAAAAAAAAAATAAAAAAAAATAAAAAAAGAAACACAAATGCTATGTTTATCAAGACATTTTTGCATATTAGTGTGGTTGAATTGGATCATCGAAGGTCAGCAGCAAATACATTGGTTAATAAAATTGGATGAAGAGCAGGCAAAAGCACGCACATCAATCTCAACTGGGTGCTCGACTAAGAAACAAGTGGAACATTTTTGGATGTAAAGTCGGCAACACCAAAGCTCCAAAAGTATCAAAAAGTTGTATTCTTTAAAAAAACTGTCGCATAGCATATGTGACGTTTCGAGCACGCAGGCTCTTCATCAGACAAATGAACAACACTGATATCCCGATCTTTATAGGCCTACCTCCAGGTGATCAAAGGTCACATGACCGTACCATATTATCATGATAATAATAATACCAAAACAATAACATATCAACCAAGGAGAAAAACATAGAAACCAAAATAAAAAATAAAAATCAATCAAAAAACATATAAGCTATGCAAAATACACAAATATAATTCTCAAAATACTGTTTAATAACATTAATTGATGCCTGCCTGGGTACATAAATACAAATCAATAACCACAAAGCGTTTATTATATGTAGATGCAGAAGTGATTAATGTCATCAATTTATCGAGCAAAGTGATCTCTAATGACTGTTTAACTGTCCTTAACAAAGGACTTTCGTTTTCACCAACTGCACACTGTAACGAATTTGACACTTTCATTGATTTGCAAAATTTTTTTTCGTAATTTGAGACTAAAAGAATTCTTTAATGTGAGACAGGCCAGTTCACAGCAGACTCACTCATTGGACTCCGGAGTTTCTATGTCTGATACAACCTCTGAGTCACGGGTTAGTGATTATGGTGCATCTAGAGAGGACTATAATTCTAGTGAACATCATCGGACTGGTTTTAGAGGTAAATCCACCTTTGTTCCCTTTAAAAACAGAAATGCTTCTTTGGACACTTATTGTAGGCTTGTAGAAAGTGATGTTGCATCTATATTAAAATCTAAAAGACAATATAAACTTGCACATAATTTGACAGAGGCACAATTGTCTGAATTGGAATCACTTAAAAAAGATTTGTCTATAGTTATTCAAAGTGCTTATAAAGGTAGAGCAGTGGTTATTTTAGATCGACAAAACTATGAATTTGAAATTCAGAGACAACTTGCTAATTCAGTTTTTTACAAAAAATTGAGTATGAATCCTTTGGCTCATTACAAAACATCTGTACACAATACTTTAAAACTGTTTGTGGATTCAGGTTTGTTGACAAAAAATGAATATGAATACATGCGTGTTGAGCATCCGATCACACCGGTACTTTACACGCTGCCTAAAATTCACAAACCTTATAAGGATATCCCTTCTGGGAGACCCATAGTGGCAGCAATTGGGTCACTTACAGAAAAAATTTCGGCTTTCGTTGATTTTCACTTACAACCTTTAGTCACGTCTTTACCTTCTTATATTAGAGATACTATGGATTTTATCGAACTCATGAATAATGTGACATTACCTGATTATCCGGTCCTTCTAGTCACCATGGATGTTGAATCGCTTTACACCAATGTTTCATTTCAGGGAGGGTTAGAGGCAATACAATTTTTT